TCTATAAATAAAAATACGCACGGGCCTATGAATTAACCTGGTACTACAGACAAAAGAAAAGCTATTGGTTGACAGAATAATTATCATAAAACGGGTAATTACAAATAACGCAGCTGTTGCAAGAGCCAAAAATATATTCCAACAACGTATCTTATTGTAGCATTATATTAAAAAAAAATTATAGCTTGATATAAACTTGTTTCCTATAATAATTTGGTGGTTACAGAGCTTAGTTTGCAATTGGAATTTTAATCACGACTAATCACAATAAAAGCATCGTTCCATAATATACAATTAAAACAATGTCCATATTCTTTTATTCGCATTTATTCTGCATTATCTTCGATCACGATACGTAAAGTGGTGAAGATGGAGAAAGTATTGGACAGATACTGAAATATTATCAACTTATTAATCATAATGTTATTCTTAATTAATTCATTCGTAACAATTAAAGAGATTGCAGCTATATCTTCGTTTTATGACAATTTGATTAAGAGAAAGACCTATACACACGCACACGCACAATGTTCTGACTAACTCGTCAATGCACACCCTAAATTCCTCAATATAGAAACATGAAATCTGGAGGATATGCTTCTTCCACGGCACAAACCACTCACTAAAAAGCGATTGTTTCAAAATCGTGTCCTAAGGGAATGGAACGAGGTGAAATGTGTTTTTACTGACTCTTCGATATCTCCTAGGTCGAATGAGGCGTAATTCAAAATTTCGCCTTACTCGACAGGTGTCGGTTATAGGACTGTACTTTTTCACTTACAACATTCCTCTCTAACACACAGATGCCATTTAAAAATCTGTAAAAGTGTTTCAACGGTTTTTAAAAAATTCACCCCTAAGCAGGTAGAAAGGACGCAAAAGAAAAGAGTGATATATCTTTGCCGGTAGAGTACGTTTATCTGGTGGTCCCCTAATAGATTTTTTTGGAAGGTAATCAATATCTTTGCAAAAATAAAGCTAAGACACTAAAAGACATTGAATAAAAAAAAAAAAGAAAAGAGAACAAGAAAAAAGAAGTGAAAAAAGAGAGAAAGGAAGAAATACCACTAGGTAGAGAAAAATAATCCTCTACAAAATATCAGTCTAATATTAGTCACCCTGACCTACCGACCGCCTGTGCGTTGCTCGTGTTTCCGTGATAGTCAAAGACTCGCTGGTTACCACGACCAAGTGCGTACGCACTCGTATACTTCAACGACTCCAGTAGTCGTCAGCAATTGATCGACAATGCGTGTTGTCCCTAAATGTGTGGATAAACTGGTGTTTCAATTATCATTCTGTACTTCAGAATCAGTCGTCTTAAGAACCTTTAACAATATTCGACAACTTCTAAGAATATTTCACTGCATTATATAGATTATCGTGTAACTAAAAATTTGTGTAAATTGTTCGCGTTACAAACGACACCGACTCTACATTGACCGCAAAAGGTTGAAATTTATATATTGAAAAAAGGATTATTTTTCACTTTTACGTGCATTCGCTCCTTTCTCTTTTTATTTGCACGTCAGTTTCACTTTTTTCTCAATTTTAAGGCATACCTTACTCGATTTGGATAGTTACAAGAAGAAAATACAGAGATAGCTGTATTTTTGGGATGCTTGTGTATATGTATATAGTATGTACACTTGCTTGTGTTTTGTTTAAGTGAAAATGGCACGGTACTGCGCGAGGGATTGAAGTTACCAACAAAATGTTTTAACAACCGTTGTCTGGTTTAAAGCGAGACATCGTATGGTGGAAAAAGTTTTTTTGTAGGTCGAGTAGGGTGCAAGAACAACTTAATTTCTTTAGATAAAACCATACATTTTGTCATACATTAATCGAACCATTTTGGCATTCCCTACGAAAAGGTAACAATCTATTTATATCGAAAAACTATCAGTTTAGCAGATATTATAACTTTAATTTGTCAAATATGTCTGGGTGTTTAGTTCCAGTAGTACATTATAAAGTTATACGTTGCTTTATGTTATTTTATGATATGGATTTATAATTTTATAATCTATGATATCTGTTATTTATAATGGGTAATTTATATGACTTGCTACTAAGTAGAAAATTATTTTTCTCTTTCTCTTTTTTTTTCTTTTATAAATTGGAATAATACGTATGTGTAACTAATAATATGTACAAAATGGAGCTAGTTTGAAATTGCTGCAATTCCTTCCAATCGATATTTGGTCCTTACCGAACAAAAGTAACGCAAAGAAAGCTCTGGTATTATGCAACTCACAGAGAGAGTTATTGGTTCCTGACATTCCAGCATGGTCAACAGATTTTTTTGCATTTCTAACTTCTGCTTGTACCATATTATGTCGTATGCACTCCGTGAGACATTTATGCTCTAAGGCATAGGAAGGATTAGTGGTATTTAAAGAAACATAACTTACAGATTATACACGGAAAGAGGTAGTAATATGAAATGAGAGAAACGAAACGAAACAGGCAATTATTTCTGAAATCACATACAGCATCTCGTCGCAGCAACAACAAGCAGTTATAATTTACAATACATCGTTGTTCTTTTACCTTTTTAACGTCTGCATCGTCAATCGCTAGCAATTATGAAAGCAATATTCGCTTGTTAAATATCTTTTTGCACATCGAAACGTTCCATAAATGTAATCAGAGTTTCATCAATAAAAGTGGTCATATTACTGCCTCTTTCCTTACACCTAAACAATAGAACCTGATTTACCATATCTTTCATGTAATCGGCTGACCACGCGTATACATAAATCTCCGTAAGTACAGTGAGGCATACAGTTACGAACTGTATTTTCACCATTGGCGGTACATCCTAGACGTAAGCTATTTAGTGAATTCGTCGTACAAAATATTACAAGCTTCACTTACCACGAGCAATATAATACCACATAAAGTTAGAGCAGACGTGCTTACTCCTATAGCGTAAAGCACTATGAAACGAAAATTATTCACCACTTCTTTTGCGTATCTAGAAAAAAAGAACTCGCGATAAACATGAACGCTCCGTTTCGTCCACGCGTCTCACGCGTCCTAAAATCTCACTTTTACCTTCTCAAATGTAATTGTTTCTCAACACAAACGATCAGCGTACGAACGTCTGCAGTCCTTTTTAATTCCAGGGCCAAACACTGGAATCTCGCGGCGGTGAACCAAAATAGAAGCGATCCAAACATGCTTAGGCATATATGTGCAACGCATTGATAGCTGAGGATAGACTGCTGCATGTATATGATAACGTACACTGGCGTATAATTAACGCGAAATGGGTATTCCGCTTCGCTTGGGAAGGATAGCGGCAAGATTGCAGGTCCTATCGAAAAAGCAGTCGCAGCCAGGTATATGCACATAATAGAACTTGCATAAAAGACGCTGCATCGCGCGATATGCTTGGAAAAAATTTCCCTTTCGTATTTTCGCGCTTGTTTAACACAGATTATCATTTCCTCGACTACGTGCTGTAACCCGTTGTTAAAGCGCGTATCTTTTCCAATCAAACGTAAGGTAGAAGCGAATAAAAACTTACTTGCAGAGAATCGTGATTGATCAAGCAGATAATAGACTGAACTATAGTTTGACTCACACCTAAAAATAGGCAGATGCATTCGGAAACAATGATTATATCGTCTAGGTGCAGATAAATCGAATATAGCAGAGGCAGAAGAAGCATGCAAGCGCTAATAACGCTACTGATCTGCAAAATTTTGTGAACCAGAATTCGCTTTCCGCTGCTATTGATAGGAAGCGGCCAACAGAAAGTCAAAGCTACGCTAAACCAAATGATGTCGATCACTTTCTCCGGCGTTATTCGTTTCGACATAATTTCAGGAGACTGCGTACTTTGTACGAACGAAATAGAGTTTAATAAAGTTCAACAGAAGAATATTCGTTCAGTTCAAAACATTGTTACGTCGCGTCGAACACAACTGGCCGTTTGCGGACGTTTGAATCCGTATGAAATTTTATCTTGTACACACGAGCAATTTAATAAATCATATGTGGCGTTACACTTGCGGACAGGTTGTTGATTTCGCTGCTGGTTTCTTGCACTGCTGGTTGATTCAACGATGAAAATTATTGTTTGCATTATACATGGAGGCCGGTTGCGGTAAGGGTCAAACAGGTGCAGAGGGAGGCGATCTCACGCAACAGAGTTAGCGTTCGTGGATATGACGTGTAATAAAACGGCCTGGAACTGGTAGGAAATCACATATTTCTGGATGCGATAAGTTAGATATTCAGTTAGTTATAGGAGAGCTTACTCGCGCCGCTTACAAAAGGCGATACTTATGAAATAGCTGAAGAAATAGAGAACGTAATAATTTATAGGATTTTTAGCGATCCGTGTTTCTTCCAAGACTGCCATACTCCCTTACACCGTCATTTATGTGTCAGACATACGGATATTTCGAGTTTATCTAGACGTATAGTCTTATTTATATTAATCTTATATTTGAAAGGCCTATTGTGAATCTGACTATAATGAAACCGAGTAGAACTAAATGCACGTAAGAATCGCAAAAATGTATGAAAAGATAGAAACAGCGATATACATACATGTAGAGATAAAATACGTAAACTGTATTCTAAGTGCAAGTTCGAGGTGAACAATCGGAACCAACTGCGAAGAGTTCGTTGTTCGTTAATATTGTAGAAAAAGTGTTGTCGCCGTGATTGCGTACCGCGAAGATGAAACCATTTGTTTCAAGGTGATACAGTGGTATATCGGAGAATCGTCCGATATGGACTTGGATTTTTGATAGGAAATAGCAGGGGCGGTGCACTGCTGAGCCAAATTTTTCAGACAGATACAGTCTAACGGTAAGAACCGATCCATCGCAAATTGTTCCAAAGTTAAATAGCACTAAACTACCCGATCCTTCGTCAAAAATGGATCGTCTCTAACATGCGAAAATGTTTCGAGAGACAAATTGTTGTTGCTCTGAAGAGTATTGCTCGCAAGTTTACACTGTCCGTTACAATAACGCAGTACACTGAGTCAAGGTTCGTGTAGGTGCAACGAATTTTATACACTGTTTAACATGACATTTAGTGTCCGTTATAGTTTCAGAATGATAACATTTTATAATCGAATGATTAATTTTAAAAATAGGCAGATGTTACGGAGCCTTTGGTCAACGACCGTAGCGAATAATGCAGGATAGAACGAACACCGAGGGAGAAATCAATGACATTTCAAGATCAAGAAGATCATCTGGGACGGTTAAATAACAACTACTCCTTTTTCTATCAATGAAAGTTCTTAATGACGAAAAGATGGAAAACATACGACATTCCGGTGTATTATTCATTCAGACATGATTAGTTTTATTCTTATTTCTGTTTCATTAGTCAATCAAACTATAGATAATAGGATATTGGACAAGTCAAAGGTGGATTTTTCTTTTTAATATTAAATCATCTATTCGCTAACAAGAAAACTACATACGCGTGACACGTTAATTTTGATAAAATTGATTTTATTTACAGATTCGTAATCTCAAACGATCATCTACATTTAGCTGCGTAATCTTCCAATAGAAAGTGTAAATTCTTTCCCATCTAATACGTGATCGCAAACTTGCGGACAGTAACCCGCATCGCGTCTCGAAAAAACTACGTGTAATTAAAGTTTTATCTATTCTAAAATAATTTTAATGCAGAAATCGCGTTCTGTTTTATTGGTAGAAGCTGTTAAAACAGGACGGACGGATGCTACAGAGCGCATGCACGGTTGGTGGGGCTAGCCACGCACGCAAACACGTAAACTCGTGCAATCCTGCTGCAAATCGATCGACTTCTCACTTGTTTCGAGAGTGTAGTGCGTAGTACACTCTGAAAATTGAAACGTAGGACACGACTTCGACTACGAGAATAGAAAATAATTCCAAAATCGACCGACATGACGAAGGATTGGGAAACGGTGGCCACGATGGCTTGCATGAAAGGCCTGCTGATGCTGTTCAACTGTATTTTATGGGTAAGAGGCTGTTTCTTTTGCTGTAATCCACCCTTGACACGTAGACTCGAGAAAACCTTGGAATACCTTTCACCCAACTGTTGCACGATATATTATCGTTTCGATGTCACAGCGTTATTCGAACGTCTTTCCCCATTCAACTCATCCTTATCCCATTCTTTTATCGTCCGTTATTATTACGTAGAAAGGACGTAGAAAGTAAGTTCGAAAGATGATGCAACAGTTTGAAAGTTGTTCGAGTCATTAGGGCACATGGTGATTTTTTCTGCGAACAAGAACATTTCAAAGAAAGTTTACCGATGTTTCGTGGAGATCTGGGACAAGTTTGTGAGAAATTATCAATAAAAATTGAAAATCGATAGGCAAGGATACTTTGCGATAGTTTGAAATTGTTCGACAACGACTGAAAGTATCGGGGCTGTTAAAGATAAAATTACGTTTTATTAGCGTAACAGGAAAAGAGTGTATTCAACGAGTTTAGTATTTACACGATCAAGTTGGCATTTTAGTGTAGAATTTGCTTACTTGGTTAAATTTAATATCGTTGAATATTTGTTATTTAGTTGGAAAAATAAACAAAATTTACTGGTTGGCACCAGCGAGATATCATTTGGTTTGTTATCGGTGTGTGTACGTTATTCGTGCTATCAGCATCCTGTTCTTACGTAGATGAACGTTATCGTCAACCTTATCGTAAGCTTTTTCCCTGACAAATCGTTAATCGTACAACATCTGCTCGAATTAAGCTAAATTAAATGAAACCCATTATTTTATTAAAAATAACAGTTACTATATAAGTAGAAAATAAAATATTTGTACATTGTACCAGTAATAATTGTATTATTTGGCGTTCTAATAATTAATTACTACAATCGTTACTTCAGAGAAAGATAGCAATTTGAATTACAACTCGACTGGACAAGATCCTCTATCTATCGTATAGTGCCATCTTTTTCCATTTGGTTTGATAGTACACATAAGTAAAATTTACGTAAATCATTTGTGTAAATCACTTAGGTATTTGGCATATTGCTACTGTGCATCGGAATTTGGATGCGAATTCAACTTCACGATTACATGGACGTAAGCCCTGAGAACAGCAGGGCAGCTTTATTGGCATTGGCTTGTCTGGGCGGTATTTTAACTTTGACAGCGACGCTCGCTTGCTGTTGCACAACTCGCGGCCATCCAGCCCTCTTATTCCTGGTAAGCGAATTATACTTACTTGCTATTTTGCTATTTACGGGAAATCTCTGTCACCTTTACCTCCACAAGTTGTGCCACTAATTGCATTTCAAACCGTATGAATAAATTTCTTGATTTCTACCGAACGCGTATCATCGATTCGATTAGAAAATCCGTTGTCCTTAAATACGTTGACTTGTTAAATCTATAATTAATCTATAATTACAGAATGGAATTTCACTTTACAAGCTATTTACTAAAAGATTTTGTTTGCAGTACGGCGCATTCTTAGCTATCGTTGCGTTACTGGAACTTGCGGCTGGTGCATCGATTTATGCCTACCGTACCAATTTAAATGAAAAATTCGACCACGATCTCAATCAAACAATGTCCGTCTATAGGCACGACGAGACCAAGACCATCCACATCGACACTATGCAGTCTACAGTAAGCGAACGTATATTTACTATTTACGAATGCAAAATAGCTACAGAACAAATTATTTCTCTTTAATTCTTTATTTTATTCAATATTACTCTCTTACGCTACGTAATTTATATTTATCGATACTTAAATTACCTACTTAATTTCATTATGTGACATATTATTTTACATAATAGGCATTCTTACAAAAATGCGTCGTAGAAAACGGTAATTACCTACTATTTGTGTTGCCAGAGGTGTTTAAGTACACAGCTATCTGTGGCACTGATACAACTAATAGAAGCTAATGTACCATTCGTTCAATCAAATCAAACCTAAAACGTATATCACTTCTTTTGAAGAACAAATTCTATAATTTTAATATTACGTACTATTTAGCAATGGTAGCTAGCGTACTTTTCCTTAATCATTAAAAGCAACGGAGATATTTCGAGTAGTAAAATCCCTTACTAATGTATGAGAAACGTGGGAGCCATACGAAACACCGGAACAGCCGCCAAGAGATTGGTATATTGTATAGCAAAATAAAGAAAATTATGCGTATAAAAAAGTACACTTACTAAGAGACTCGTGTGGGCGGCAATATGGATCGCTAAAGGTACAGCACTCGTTTTATCCTCGTGCTATTCAGAAATAAACGGTATTTGGGCAGTGAAAGCTCGTAAGTGTAAATTCTTTTAGACGCGGCAACAGGAAACAGGATCCGACACCTTCATTTCTTCAAGAAATTGAACGATGAACAATTCGTCTGCACCTCGACGATCCATATTGCCGGCTCCACCATAAACAGACTGAATCGTTGCATAAGTGGCGGACTCTGATTTTAGTTGCAGTGCTGCGGTAACAGAGGTTTCACAGATTGGTCCGATATGTCTCCACCGATGGAAATTCCACTGTCTTGCTGCAAAGTGGCAGAAGATGTGTGTAACGTTAATGACGTAAACGATATTTATACTCAGGTAAGATAAAAACGAAAGCGATATAGTAACAAGCGAAAGTTGTATAAAGGGGAAGAATCTAGAAATAACGATTTAGAAATACAAATTACGTTGAGAAAGATTTTGTTCGCGTGCCTCTTCGAACAACGCAACCTTGTTGTAACAAAGATATTTACGGACATACTTTGTTTCTTATTACTCGTCTTACATTGTCGGACAAAGTAAAAAAGTGCAAAAGTAACGCGTCTACACGCACGCATATTATATTATTCTATAACGAAACATTCCATCAGATACGTAGTACGTAATATACGCATAGAATTCAGGCACGTTTCTTATAATTTTAAGCTAATCATAGAAAAGACAAGTTGTTCGAAGCAAAAAGTTACAATAATTCAAATGAAAATTTTCAGGGCTGCTACACTCGTGTGTTACGACTGATAAACGGTAACATCGGCTTGGTCGCTGGAATAGCAGTCGGCGTAGCATTCTTTCCGCTTATAGGGGTCTTCTTAGCCTGTTGCTTAGCTAGCAACATTAATAAAGTCAAGTACGAGCAGGTTGCTTAGAATTTGCGCCGGTTGCAGAAAAGCTCGTCGTGTCGGTAAGAAAAATGCATAACGTTCGAAAGTTGTACAATTACAATTTGTAACAAATAGGCAAATACGAATCTCTCTTCCGTTTTTTACGACAACTGCTTTCGACACGTTCCATCTTACGCACACCGTTTGAGCTTCTCGCTCCAAGCGCGAACATGTATCTTGCTATTACTTCTTACGCTTATAAATACAGATACGTTGAAATTCTCAGCGATTCGAACGAAAAGTTCAACGTGGATCTGCACACTACGTAAAACGTGTTAAAGAGTTACACGTTCGATATTTTTCTCAGAATTTAATCATACCCATTCTTCGAAGAAACGGGCAATTGATAATTTTTTACATATTACAAGCGTCTACATGTTATTATTATCCATATATGTTGTAAAAACCTTTTAAATATCTTTATTGTCATGTTGGATTCTCATAAAATTCTTATAAGAACATGTTAAATAGTTACTGCGTGCTGTGCATAGTTGCACAAGAAAGAAAACACAATCGTAGGAGAAGACGGGAGTGAAGAATATCAAATACGATAAAATATGCGCGTTTGCATGAAGAAAGAATTCACATTTCATGAAAAACAGATCCACGATTATCGAGGTTAATTAAAGAAAAAGATACGAGTTCTTCGATGCGTCTAATTAGCGCAAATTTGATTGTTTTTTTTTTAATTAAGTCGATGAAAGGAACAAGTCGATAACTGCGTCAGATTGATGATCCTAATGTTTCGTTATGCAGTTAATCGCATAATAAATTGCCCATTCAGTCTTGCAACGATAAGAGCGCACAGAAAAACATACATAATTCTATAAAATAAACTGAAATATAATCCGACTAGATGGAACAGATCTTATTAATTGTTTAGATCATTGTGTTGAAAAATATTCTATCTAATAAAGCAGAGTAGACAATTCCAGGAAAACCTCAAATACGCTAGCACTTTCGAACAATGTAATTTAAAGGTATTTATATAAGGTAAATGAAACTACATGCATGTATGAAATATCGTGTAAGTATATATCTTTTCAAGAGTATATTTTATGGATATATCTGCATAATCTATACGCTCTTTTGTTATCATCGATAGTACCCCTACTTTTCCCTATTGTTTTATCATTTTGAGTATAACTAATGAATTCATTTATCAAGTATCTTTAACCTTTAAATTAAGGAAATACAAATATAAAAAGCATAAACTAACGTTTGTAGCTCGGTACAGTTTAAAGTTCAGAAATTGTCAGAAAATATTTCGGAATATATTTCATTCGGCGCTAATATTGAACACGTTTGAAGACTAGAACGCAAAGTAATGTCCGTTTGATAAGTACAATTACGATCCGAAACATCAGTCTACCATAATGATTGATCGACGAATACGTATAACCAGATATAACTGGCGAGAGAAAATTCCGTTAATTACAGTAATACGCGAAAGGCTTGAAGATACAACTTCAAATTCTATTTTTATTATTAAACAAGACTCATGTTTACACTAATTTTTACCAACTTTTCTTTAGCTTTATACGTCACAGTGTTTATATTTTTAATAAAACCAAACATACTATTTACTACTATCAGTTTAGCGGTACTATTTAATAATAATATTTAGAGATTTAACGTAATTACTTTGTTCTGCTTGCTTAGCTTACTCGTTAGTTGCGCGTATCAACTACGTCTAAAATGTTACATCGTTTGGCTAAAATTTCATTATTAATGGTTGATGATTTCCTAAATATAAAACAGGTGACGCGATTGCCTTGTGATGTATGTATGTATGTATGTATGTATGTATGTATGTATGTATGTTTGTTTGTTTGTATGTATGTATATGTGTATGCATGTATACGCATATATGTTGGTATATATCTATCTTATAGCGAACATTTACCTCATAACGGTGCTACATTGTGCCGCAAGACACGCGATCATAATTTTACCGTAATTCTATCAGACGAATTATTACATGTTTCACATGGTATCTCCTTTCGATTACGATGGTATATTATCTTACAGCATTATATTTGTTCGGGATTTGAAGTGGCCATCTGTTTATGACTTGGACAGCACATCTCCCTTTTTTGAGAAAGTCAAATTTCGATTTGCCTTTCCCAAAAAAGGGAGATATGCTGTCCGAGCCATAAACTGACGGCTCCAAATCCCAAACAATATCTTCACGTTAGAGAGGAAACAAACAAATAACTTATTTTTCGATAATTGTGATTTTCCCATCTTATACAGATATATATATATACGCATGTACGTGTATACGGATAAAAATATGTTTGAAAAATACTTTTATCATTTTGTATTTTTTCCGTTATCTTTTATTAAGAATTTTATTTCACTCCGTTCCGATTAATATTTCAGAAAATGGCAGAAACAGTTTTTTTCAGAGATACATCGATCTTTCTTGTTTTTACAACTTCGCGACATGTGTAATGTATATTTTTATGCGCATATAAATACATATATAAGTTGTTGCAGAGAATTATTATTCTTGAGAGCTATATTGTACGTCATTTACGTCTATAGAATATTTAATGGAGAAATTAAGATCGTTCGATTATATGTCACACACACCCACACACACACAAACACACACATACACACTATAAACATATATGAAAAACATTCTGTTTTCTAACATTCCATTTCGTTACATAGATTGTAGACTATATTTCTAGATGATCCCGGGAAACTCCTGTTAAGCGTTAGGTAAACTACCGTGGAGTTTTAGTCGGTAAGTCCGACACTACCCCGCTGCTTCCCAGAAGTACGGTGGGGTGTCCATGACGATTTCCCCACGTAAAAAAAAAAAAGAAAAAAAAGAAAAAAAAGAAAAAAGGAAAAGAAAGAACTATATTTCTAGATATACATATGCACGTAGTACATTGATCTATATTTAGTCACATAAGAAAATAAGAAGACAAATTTTATCATCAATTTTATCATTTTGCTTTTTTGTTAAAAGGACACGACTATGTTTTACGTGCTTTAAAAACAGCTTACTATAGTTTTATCTTTACAGTGTTCGTATTCGTATTCGTATTCGTATGTAATTAAACAAAATTCCATGTACGTAGTATACAGATGTTTCTCGTCTAAATGTTTCCGTCTCCTAAAATTTTAAACAAGTTTAGACTAATATATTAAAGAAACGAATTGTTAACCGAACAAAAGTGATTGTCAATTGTATATTGTTCAATTATACGCATACGATAAGACTTATTTGATGCATTGTTTTACAGAAATTTGAAAAATTATTTACGTTAATATACGATATACCGTGCGTTTTAAAATGTGCAAGAAATTTGATATACATAAATCCTCTGTTTCTGCACAGGCGCTATCTGAAGCTCAAATTAAACGAACATCGTCGCTCACAAATAGACACAAACAGATTTCACATATAGATAAACTATTAAATCTTATAAATAACAAAAAAACAAAATATACATGTATTTATTATATTCGTATTATATTCAAATATTTCAAAGTATATATACATGTACATATTATAATATATGTATAATTATATTTCAATATAATAAATATAGTATTTCAATATATTTAACCCGTCGTCTTTAACCCTTTCGCTTCGAGCGCCGTATATAGCGACGACTCCTGAATCCGGCACCCTGTATATCCGGCATCCAAATGATGCATATACAAGTGCTATCTGTAGTGAACAATATATTTTTTCGTTATCGGCAGAACATTTTGATTTCATTGACGTGTTGGATTAATCATTTCTTAAAGTTACTCATTGTTGGAATCACGCAATATATTTCAAACATCCAAACGGTCGTATACTGTTTCATGCTAAAAAATCTATTAAATCCACTGACAGTGAAACGGTATTTCATATACGATTTTTACAAGAATTATTGATATTTAAGACTTAGGAGAACGTACATACAGCAACCACGCACACTGTGCGTATTTCCGGCGCGCGTTTCCGTTCAGTGACAGCACTTCGGCGGACTGGACTACCGCAGCGAAAAGGTTAAGCCCGCATACTGATTCGTTTCTGACTGATTTTAAGTAATTTTTCATTTTTCCCATATATATATATATGTAGTACCGTAAATATAATATTATATTGATGATTTATTTACGATGAATGAATTTTACAGATGTTGATTAATCACAATAACTTATTATGATCTAGACAACGCAAGCTTTAATTTGTAACTCTCGTCACAACGGATCCGACGCTCTCTCTCTCTCTCTCTCTCTCTCACGCGGACAACAATCTCACTTCTTGATTTGCGTTCTCTGACTCCACAAAATGATATTGCCCGCCCTTCGATCTTTGTCTTCTCTCGGAGATGACCCCCCTCTACGCTCGGATCACGCCACCGTTCGCGCCTATGATCGCATATGCACCTTCCGTGTGTATGTGGAAAAAAACGGACCGAAGGCGAATCGACGTTTCTGGAACTATACGCTGGTCGTTATATTCTATGCATTTCGCCGGTCCTATACGACGATCTGTCTGCGGCAATGCGTTATACTATCCCGGTATCTTTTAGGCCTTTTGTCCACGATACTACATATGTACTATAATGGCTCACTCTACTGACTCATTCGCTCGCCGTTTGAATTAAATGATCTTTTTCATTTGTCTTGCATCACAATTTTTTGGCCCTCACAACGTTTTATAACAGCGTTGACAATATACAGACAAAATATATAGTCTTTGTTTTTGATATGCCAGTGTCACGTATCAATTGTTGCTTTTCGTTAAAATAAATATACCATTATTAGGTGCCCTTTTTAACATACCGATCCGTATCCTTATAATTTTTTAGAATCTTCAAGCTCAAAATGTCGCTTCAAAATAGAAAACGAAGAGCAATTTGAGAAACACTATCGCGCTATGAGTGTGAAAATTGTAACGTGGGCCTATGTGTTGTATCGTGTTTTAAAATATATCACACTCGATTGTATTATTAATTATTAAAGTAGATTATTAAAGTTAAAGTATATGCATCGTATCTTTAAGGAAAATTATAACTTAATTATCAAAGACTTCGTTCCAATGTGCTTCCGTAGAAAGAACAGCATTGCAGTGCTGTATCGTTTAGGCGTAATTCGCGTCAAACTATATCGTACAGAAAAACAGCCCCGTAACAGAGAAACAAAATACAACTGTACCTAAGAGGTTAAGAACACTAGGCGGAATGCCGCCTAAGCGTTCTAAAATTTGTCTCGTACGTTTCATCCGTCGAAATCAATGTAGAAATATAAACTGCATTCATTGCTCGCCTTTTAGAATATACATGACATTATTATTCTAAGTTGATTATTAATTTAGGTTTTAGGTTAGAATATCACACGTATAAGTAAGAATGCAATGAAATTCAAAAGAAGAATAATCTTTAAAAAACAATCCCTAAAAGTATCTATTTTATAGAGAAAGACGATAAAAAGTTTTCTAATATTTAAAGTATAAATTTGACAGAAAATTTCGGATTTAACGAACAAACCGATAGTAAGGAACTTGATTAATTTTCATAACTAATTTCACTTGTCTTTCACTCCTTCGATATTTCCTATCAAGTCGAACCCATTCCCATTATTTCGACTCTTATTAAATTCAAGCAAAACCGTTCTATTCTCTGATAAAGTATCGAAACTTTGTCAAAAACTTCTGCTCCTTTCTTTCAAGCTGATTGATAAAAGTAGGCAAATTTCTCTAACGGAGAACCTGGATCAAATTCATTTTACGCTTGGACGTCCGACATTTTATGGTTAGAGGGTCGACACAATCAGTAATTACGGAGGTTAAATTACAGAGAAGCCCTTTGCCCCAGGACGGAATTATTTAAGTGAAAGGAAACGAACGTAACGATCAAGTTACGGTCTCTTTTGTTTACTTTACTTCCTCACACTTAAATAATACAATTAAAAATAAAATTAGTAAGGTTAATAGAATGATTAATTCACTTCATAAAATTGATACTGATTTCGAAAGAAAAATTGTATTGTTATCAGTTCGCGGTAATAGAGCTCTTGTTGGAAATAATCACTCATGCAGCAAATAACCGCGATCAATTGAATGAAACAGAAACAGAGCATAAAACAGACAGGCAGGCTACAAATATTAAACGACATGGCAATATCTAATATCTATCAGTCGGGTTTAATTAAATCATGTTTTCAGCAATGGGCGTATTATGTTTCAAAGAAGCGAAGTGAGGTTATCGTATTGGCAAGTAGAATTAAGATAAAATCCTACTAATCTTCCTACAAACTTCTATTCTATATATTATACAAAGCATTTTGAAATCTGCACTTTGTAATGCTAACGAGACACGATTATCGTAATTAATAATCACTGATTATATCGGTAAAATTTGAAACGCATCTCAAAACATATATAAAAATTATGAGATACTTACTAGAATTATAGATTTCGCAAAAGTCACTAAAGTATATAAACAGTCAAACATTCAGTATATTAATAAGCCACAATATACATACATCGATCGTGGAACCATCTTTACCACTAATTGTACGTTTAAAACTATTGTTCACGCTGTCCACTATTTTTCACTTACCGCTGATCAAGGCATCGTAGCAATGTTCGCTATATTGTGGCCATATTCAGTATTTAAATTAATATACAGAAAGAGAATAGCAATAAAATCAAATAAAGAGAATAGGAAAGTTCCCATAAAATTATGAAATAAAAAGAAAGTAAAAACAAGTGCTTTCCTATCTTACTTCGTATAATCGCGAATCGTAAAAGTTTGTTTTTGCCAAAAACTACAATTTCAAACTTTCGATAAGAAGCGGTTAAGACGATAAAGGTTAAGACGTGAAAAATTAAGACGATAAAAATTCACGCGTTGAAAAGTACCGACAACTAATAAAGTTGAGAACACAGGATCGCAGTCTTGCCAATAAAACAAGTCGCTTTACCCATTCTACGTTATCCATAAGACGTGGTCGCGCCGATGATACCGACCGATATCTTACGATTACAATACGAATATGTCTAATAATTGTTCGTCCTAACGTACAATTAAACGCCTTTTATATCGTTTAATATCGTAAGATAAACTACAAGAAATGCAATGACAACTTTTTAAGCTTTTGAGAATTGAGAAAGATATTTTACTCGAAAAGAGCTAAAAGATAAAAAGCTATGTCATCTTTACTCATACAGAAATCAATGAAACTATTTAATGAAGCTAGCTACGATCGTGATTAAATATTCAAATATTTATATTTTATTCATACGCGTACTTATATCTGTATGAATATATTTGTCTTCATTCATGATCGTTCGTAATTAATTAATCAATTATTTACATTACACAGCATTATTCATGCTGATAAAAATCGCGATGTGCAAGAAGATCTATCCTGAACTAGTAAATAAAACACACAGAAAGAAAATACGTACTACCACTCACGGGTATAATAAATACCCGCGGTCACTTTGTCCGTAAAAAATTCTACGTGATATAACCAGTCGCCCATGTCGATTTGGATCTTTCGTCCTACGACATGATTGAGCGACTGGAGGGACAAAAAAGCATGCGACTCACAGTTACACACGAAGAACGATGTCGACGATGTTGATGTACTTCAGAAGAAACCATCATGAAGGCTGTCATCCTGGAAGAATTATCAAACCTTATAATGAAAGTACAGGTTCTGTAATATCTGTAACAAAAGATGGAACAATATATATACCGTTTATTGTTGAAAACAATATTTTATACTTTATAGTTATTACGTTATAAGCAAATATAATAAATACAATAATACGTCGCGAACAACGGAAATTGACAGTCGCGACAAGTCGTAAACAAGTCGATCGTATCGAATCAACAAATTTCCGAATATTATAAAACATGTATCTTTACATTGAACATTAACGAATACTCTGAATGCAATTAGAACTGATTTTACTATGATTATACTGCGTGTTGCCGAATTAATTATTATCCATTTACCACAGACAGTACGCTATATTATATCAAGAATACAAAAACATAAATATTAAAATCATAACAAGAATACGAAAGAAAATGTAGTATTTTCTACTATTGTCAAATATGTATATGAATATTTTATAATACGATCGATTTGTAACACTAATCTATCAAATCGAATGTCCGCCATTATAGGTTCAAATGCTTCGCGTATTATATGACTTCATTCGAATAAAACATGGCGCGCTTCCACTGACAGTTAAACAAAGCTGCGCAATACGAAAAAAAACGAGATGCGCAGAGCCTGTTCAAACCTGTCTGTGATAATGTACTTTCTCGAATGTAGTGAAACCTATCGAAAAAGTTGAAATAACAATTTGTCATAGCCGATTTACGAGTAACGAAGCAAAATGAAAATGTAATTTGAATTTCTTATTCAAATGACACAAAAGCCAGAAAAGAAAACGTATGCATACGTTTGCCTTCTTTAAAATAAATGAAATATTACCACGTTTCGACGAACAGTTATCACATTTATCATCGATCGCTGCGATGGCGTCGTCTTGACTTTCATCTCGTCCTTTCGAATTTCGCAGTATCCCTCTATTAATGCTCCGAAGTTTCCCTCGCAACCAAGCAATAATCTGCACAAAAGAGGAAATATTAAAATAGAATGAAACAATCAAGGTTAAATTGCATCTTGAAAGCTTGATATTCGAGCTACCGGTATATGACAAAAAAAAAGGAAAAAAAAAGAAAAAGGAAAAAGAAAGACGATCGAAGAAAAAAAGATAATCAAATACTAGGGTACGAGGAATTTTAGTAAATTATCGGATAACAATGTACCTTACTTAAACGAAGTTTACAGTAGCGTGTGTTTCCGTGGTGGAAGGACGATTATGAAAGCATTTGCTACGCAATAAAATAATCAACACCTATCGCGGAGTGACACTAAACACGTCTAATCGCTTCCACTTTCGACACTAGACTGACCCCCCGGCTGTACCATTGTTTACTTAGGTAATTTCAATTGGTAAGGAGTGGGGAGGGGAGGCCCTCTGGCAGGTCAAACGTATATATACATATGCTTGGGCGACAAGAGTCGTTATATTCCTGGAAAGGATATATCTTCGATAGTAAGGGTATTATTTTTCAAATAAAGAAATAATACGTTAAACTGATTGTGAAACGCGAAGATGCGCGTAGAAAGTAAACACGTAAGTAAAGTAAGCGTAAGCTAATATAATCTACATGAACAAAATTTATGAATTCGAAACCTGGATATCTGCGTTTAGAAATTTAGTAGGCGTGTCATAATGTAATTTGATTAAATAAAATTTGTTGAAAAATGAAAAAGATAATAAACGGATAATAAATAAAATGAACAGAGATTGTCGGTTAGGTTTGTTACCAAGTTCACAGTCGATGACTTTCCTATTATAATTATCTACTTAGAATTAATTAATTCTTATGGTTTTTAGAGGTCAGAATTGTATTTATATTCTTATAATGCTAATTTCCATAGTAATTCCATAGTGAGCATAAGTAAGTCTACAACTAATCTATTTACTTGTTTAACGCTATAGACTATAGACAATGTGAAATGTAATATAGGTGCGTGTTCTCTCTCCTGTGATGTACATATGTATATCTATACCTGCATTTTCAACTCGAGTTAACTGTAGATGTTTTTGCTATCTTCTTCTATCTGAGAACATGTAGCTGATTGGCAGTAAGACGCTTCGATCACTGCGATTGGTCCATTTGAGGAATAAAGTTCCATCACACGAGTATATCAACGGATTTTGTATAGTTGTGTGAGTAAGCAAAAGGAAGAAGGGAATAAGGAAAAAAGCTTAGGAGGATCAGTTAGTTCTCGACAGTCTGCTTATTTAGATCGTTTTTTCGTTGTGCATAAATTTGTGATAAAAGTTCTTATTTCGCTTCATAATGGATATAACTAAGAAAACGCGGGAAAATGCTGTGGAAGAGTGCCAGTTGATGACCAGATTGTTGGAAATGTTGCAAGAAACGAAACATGAATTGATGCAAGAAAATGGACAACGTCGCTTAACTGCTTGAGAAATCATTCGTGGTGAAAAGGAACGCGTGAAAGATGCTGAAATTGTTTCTTGGCCGTTTTCCACGAGATTGTTACGAGGTGGAATTAATGCCGATGCTCGAAACAGTCGGTCGTTTGATCAGATTGCGATTGATTTTTTGGAACAACTCGCGGATATGCATTCGTCTTATTCAATGATTCAAAAGTAGCGAGAAGCGCATGCGCAAAATATGACGGTTATGAAATCAGATATGGACATCGTACCGGCGTCGTTAAGTCGGTTGATAATCACCGGCTTTTCTTTGGTGGTGCATCCAAGAACAAATGAAAGGAAGAATTTCTACATAAGTTGAACAAGATCCTCGAGGGTATCACTGATATCTGTCTGTATCCAAGTGTACATGACAAAACGTTGAATCGTGGATCAAAGATCATAGAGCAGCCGCGATGACAAGACGAAAGTTTAAAAATATCGTGGACACGAACGCCAACGATGTACTCGATATAACCTCGATGCATACAACTGCTTTACAAAATTTCATTACAGAAAAGTTTAGCGTTACTTCTTACTCTAACCGTTTGCGCGCAGCGAATGAGCTCACTTTTATGTATAAAGTAAGTGTATACGATCACATTTATTTATATTTGTTTCTATTTCCCGAACATATTTTTTTCATTTTTCTGTTTCATTATCTATTGTCTGTTTCTTGCATTTTCTTAGATAACTATTGTTAGACAAGCCCATATTCTGTCCGAATATCACGGAGAATCAATGCCAACGAAGCAAAACGCTATGGTTGCTGCATGTACAAAGACGTATCAACTGATAGCTTCTACGTTCCAGGATTTCGGTGAGTATACCAAATGGGAATATCCAGTTAATTTTTGCGTAATTCAACGTACGATACCTTCTTCGCAAATGTAATTGATACCAATTTCACGGTTCCTATAATTCTTTATAATTCTGTAAATGAACACGCATGTAAGGCAAATACCAGACATACATTTCGTCTGAAATGTTATTGGCCGTTCACCGATTTACTAATAAAAAACTGATATTTAAATTTTACTGTAGCAAAAACATTATCGCGATAAAGGTAGGTCTAACGTTACATCTAAAACATTGTCGCGTATAAGAAATATATATAAAATTATTGCGTCGGAGCGGAATATTCTCTTTTCTTCTCTAAAAAAAAAATGCAGTAAACAACTGGCAATTAGTTTTATTATCGCGCGATTTTGTCATTCTCATACTTGCCTATCTCTGACGGAAAAGTGGATACGAACTCTTCTGTGTAGAACCGTACAATTAAAATAGGTCTATGCTACTATGCAACCGAACAGGGCAGATGCCTAATTTTATAGGTTCTTGTATACGCTAGCTTTGGTTAACCTCAGACTTGACCTTGGACTTGACCGCATGGTGCAGCACTTGTATCGTGAAATAACTAGAACTACATGCGTACAACAATAACAATAACAACAGTAACAATAACAACAACAATAATAACAGTAACGCGACAAGGCACCGAGTCGACAGTTTTTCAATTTCGATACGTGTACTGAATGAAGCACTTTTTATTGCGACCTTTGTCGCATTTTTCTCTCCTTTTAACCGTGTATTCGCGCAAAGGAAATATCGTGGTCTTTGTCCACTGCTAATCAGCGCGGTAATCAGTCATACTCTTTTTTAAATTCCCAAACAAATGATGGCCACGTTAAACAAGCGAGAGAGAGAGGGGGAGGGGAGAAGTTAAACAGGCAGGATGCATCTTGTGGATTAATATTAAAGAAACACATGTAGATGACAGATTCTCGAAGCCACAGGTTTCATACATGCACATAGAAGCGGAGTTGCATTCGATCACGTTTTTTTTGTAGAAACTTCAATTTTTCGAAGTTACGCGTACAAAGAAATAAAGGTTCGATCTATTCGCGAAGTGATAACGTTGTAACTTTGTAGCCAAATACAGAAATTTCAATGTTATACGAACGCGCAAGCCTTTAGAAAAAATAAGAAAACTCTTTCGATCGCGTGAACGCCAACGGGCAAAATTTATTTAAACCTTGGATGTTTTATCAAGCTACGAATACTGCAAAAAAAGAGCACGCTATATAAAAGGGCACGGAAAACACGTTGTTAAAGAAACGATGTACATGGCAACAAATAAACGTGCCGAAAACACACTGAAGCGCATCGCGAGCTCTTTTGATGGATTGCCACGCAAGATTGATCTATTCCATCTACGGAAGGCCCGGCAAAATAAATGGAAAAGAAGTTAGAAGATTTAAATGAAAAACTTTCGAGGATAGCAACAGAATCGATTCGCCAGGCAGTTTCTATTTGGTGCTAGAAATCGTTTCGAACACCTAACCTAATTTTTAAGATTCGAGTAACTTTAAGGCGAAAAAGCGATACAAATGGGAAAATAAAATTACATTGTGGCGGTAAAGTTCGTGCGTTTTCGGATGTTGGTGTTAATACAAGCTGAAATTTTTGGAGATTGAAATTGGCAAGAGTAATAGAAAAGAATAGCAATGAAATTAATAATAAAATTATCTCGCAATCATCCTTCCGAAGAGATAATATAATACATTACGCATATTTGGATTAAAATATTTGTCGGAGATGGAAGGACGGCAGGATTTCCATCGGGAATGCTGGGGAAAACTCCCAATAATTGTGAAAACAATGCATATATCCAATTTGTTTAACATTATCTCTCATTTATAAGGGAAATCTGGCCCATCGGTTCGTCTTTTTCTCATTCACGTTCTATAAAGTATGAAAGTTCCCAAGTCGAAAATTATGTACACTACGTTGAGGAAAAGATAAGTTGCAGAGTGCTGTCGATAGTCACGGGTAAACGAAAGAGAAAGAGGGAACTGTATAGGTGCATGGTCTTTTGATGGATCGTCTGGTGCGATTTGCGATCCAGTGGATCGGATCAAGAGCGGAAAGGGCCGCCAAGACTAAGTGTAAGAGAGGAGGGTGGCTAAAGGAAGATGATAGAGGGAGGAGAGGGCGTACACTTTCAAACGAACGTCT